AGATCTTTCATAAGCAATGTAAACCACTCTTTGATCGTCTTCAAAGTAATCCTCTTCCATGGACTTCTGTCTATACTAGTATAGTCAAATCTATTAAGCAATATGTCAAGTCATTGCCTTGTCTTGGCATTCCAACTACTGATTCTTTCAAAATCATTGAAACTGATACCTCAGACATTGGTTATGGTGGCATCCTCAAACAGCGGGTCAGTCCAAATGCACCTGAACAATTGGTTCGATTCCATTCTGGTGTTTGGACAAAAGCACAAAGTAATTACAGTACTATTAAAAAAGAAATTTTTTCTATTGTTTTATGTATTAGTAAATTTCACGATGATATTTTAAATCAAAAGTTTTTAGTTCGAGTTGATTGTCAAAGTGCAAAATATGTTTTAGAAAAGGATGTTGAAAATATTGCTTCTAAACAAATTTTTGCCTGGTGGCAAGCCATCTTAAGTATATTTGATTTTGATATAGAATATATTAAAGGCAGTAATAATTCCATTCCATATTTTCTCACCAGAGAATTCTTGCAAAAATCTGATGGCAGACCGACAGCCTCCCAGAGGCCTCAACCAGTTAAACCTTTTGATATTTGCTCAGGCAAAGCTCTAGTTACCCGATCACAGTCACAATCCTCTTCTGCCCTGGTAGTGGTCAACCGGTTCCAGCCACTTGCCTCCCAATCAACCTTTAAGTCAGGTCTGGTCAATCCAGCACTAGACCCCTTCTAAGTCCAAACACAAGTTCAAATCTAGTCCCAAGTCCAAAAATCATCTACTAGAAAGCCATCAAGTCCATATTATGAAAAAAAACACCTGTTGTTCTATTCCACATCGAGCCACACCTTAGTCACATTAAGGACCTTATAGAATTAGCTCGCTCTTATTTTCCAAGTAACCTTCACTATGCCCCCAAATCATCCTCATAAAACTCTTGGGTTTTATAAAGATATTCTGTACCATACAGAGTCCATCACCATTAAGACAACTTATGATCGCAATGATTCTTCCAAAGTCATTTACCACTCCCTATATATCCGACGGATTATCTCCATGGAAGAATGGGGCAGTCATCCTACTTACCCCAACCACTGCCTAATCATAATATTTAGTTTACATATTATGATTATGTATCAGCCTGGTCCTCCATATTCCTATACGAAAATGAGTCATATATTCATTCCTGGTTTCTCAATTTTGATAGTCATTTCAAAAGTCAACTCCCTACCTGGTTTTTGCATTGGTGGTCTCATCATGGCCCCATTCCAGAAATCTTGCCACTTTCCCTTGCAGATCAAGTCAAATACTTCCATACAGTTCATAAAGTTAACAAACACAGTTCACAATTCCCAGTCTTCTTGTTATTTTGCTGCAAGTATAAGGTCCCATGGATATTCAAATGGCAATACGATATCCAGGACAACATGATCATCCGTCGCCACTATGTTAAATGGTGGGACATTTTCAAAATTGACAGAATTATTGGGTATGTTGAAGATGATTACCCAAAGCAAACCTCAAGACAAGTCACTCCACCACCAAAACAAGCCATTCAACAAAAACAGTCTTCTCCTACAAACACTATTACATCTACCAAGTCTCGGAAGCATACTCCCAAGTCAGAAATTGAGAAACTCAAAATGATGGCAGCCACACTGACGGATTGCATCCAAGAACTATCCCAAGATGAAGAAAAAACAGATGATGTTTCCTCTGCTACTGAGTCAAGTCACCCACAAGATCTTTATTATGATCTTCAGGATGCCCAGAATCCATTTGAATTCTAGGCCAGAAAAAGTCAAAATCACTATTTGGTCAGAGTTACTATTTGCTACAGTACCAAGTCAACATTACTATTTGCTACAGTACTGTCGGCAAATCACTATTTCTACAGTCACCCAATAAAAACACTTTTCATCTACAGTGCCGTGGCTGTCAACGCAAAAGGACAGGAACTGTAACATCTACAGTAAACCTCAGTCAGAAAAGTCAGAAGCATTTTTGAAAGCCAAAGTTGCGCCGCAAATTTCGAAAAGATGTCTCTAACAGTCCTCCAGCAGTGCAGGAACCCAGCTATAAAGAGAGAAGCCAGTCCATCGGATAAGCAGGCTTCATTCAGAGGGAACTTAAGCTTCAGTTTTCATAATATCAGTCTTCATTTGTAATATTCATATTTTCTATCTTCGTTGTATTACATCTCCAGTATACTGTATACAACCATCTACCAGTAATATATCAGTTTGTAAGTTATATTCAGTCATTATATTCTGTTGTAATTATCTTTCATTAATATCAGTTATCTTTCATTTATATCAGTTAATTTCAGTCAATTTATTACTTATTTTAAGTCATTTATATCAGTTATCTTTTATGTATTTCAATAATTTCAGTAAATTTATATCAGTAAATTTATTTTAAGTTATTGTGCGCTTAAGCCTTTATGGATTATATATATATATATATATATATATATATTTTATTGAAATACTATTGAACATAACATGTCACTCGGCAACTCAAGCAAGCCCCTACATTTTTTATTTTCTATTTTCAAATTGGACAGTTTTTTATTTTCTTATTTCTCAAGAATTATTTTCAGAATTATAAACCAAGCAAACCTTTACATTTTTTTAAAGTAAAAAATGCTGGTTCATAATACAGTATATAATTTCCATATTTTAGACTAATTTGTTACCATATTCTCTTTGACTTTCTTGATCTTCTATTTTTTTTTTTACCCAGAATTATTTCTTTTATTGTAAGATACTTATATAGAGAAGATCTCTCTTACTCTTTGGGCTTTGTTCTTAAATTTTACTATTTTTAGAGCCGTTACATTGTTCAATTATCAAACATTTAAGCATCAGTTTTTTTTTTCGACTTTTAAGTAGACCTATCAACGGATCGGATTTGGACCGGATCATGTTCAATCCGATCCGAATCCGATAAGCATAATGAGTGATCCGGTCCGGTCCGATAATCCGACGGATTTAGACTGAGTCGATCCGTATCCGATTTGTTTGATTATCGGATGTCCGATCCGATAGTCCGATCCGATAATGTAATTTGCACAAATCAACAAACAAACAACAAATTAGGGCATCTTGTAAACATAAAAACCAAAAAAACTGAATAATGTCTATCAAGTTCGATTTGTCGATTCGTAAACAATACAGGTAATATAGTAGGAAATTTCAACATCACAAATACGAATTGGTGTAATTCAACATATAATATATATATATATAATGATTTAGATAGAGTTAACTTGAAAGAGCTCGGTTTGGATATCAATTTCAATGTTAAATCTCACACCAGTACGCACTGATCTATTGCTTGTAGCCTTTTGGTTTGGGGCTTAACTATTAAACCACAGGCAAGACTCGAAACTGGTACACATAGAAGGGAAAATTTAGACCCCCAGGTTACTTTGAGGTATTTCAAAATACCTCTCCTTTTTTAACTTTCAAAATAAAATAATATGAAGAGGAGAGAAGTGAGATCAGACGAGAGAGAAAGGAAGAACACTTACCTGAAAGTAGTAATATTTTGCAGCAGTTGCCGATCGATGAGTTCGTTTCTCAGCTCTGCTACGTGGGAGTGGGGAGGTTGTTTTGCGGCAAGGGTAGTGAGAGAACAGAATGTTGTTGTGTGATATGGTTAGGGTTTAGATATTAAAAGAAGAATGGGCTTGGGCTTGGGAATAAGAAGTGGGTTAAGAAGTGGGTTTGGAGATGGGTTTTGGGCTGGACTCTTATATATATATATATATATATAAAATTTTAATTCAGATCGGATTATTATCGGATCGGTTCGGTAAAATCCAAATCCGATTTGTTAAGCTAACGGGTTATCGGATTCGGATCATAAATGGATTATCGGATTTTTTGTTCAATCCATATCCGACTTAATCGGATCGGATTCGGATTAGAATCCGATCCATTGACAGGTCTACTTTTAAGCATCAGTTTGACTAGTGCAAATTCAAACTTCTCTGTCACTTTGTAAAATATCAATTAAATTTCTCTTTTTTTCAACCCTAATTCTTTATGACCCTAAAGTGACAGAACCATTTATTATTATTTGCCAGTAATGCCAAAAATATGTGTGAAATTCAAAGGTTCGCTTCACATAGTAGCACAAAGATTCCACAATGGTAGAAATTAAAATTTGAAATGAGCTCTTTGATCTGAGAATCATTTTATTTTTAGCAATTAATGTTGATATAGATTATGAATGATGAATGAGATAAAAATAAAGAGAGATTAAAAAATTAAAAGTTGTAACTATTTAAGTAAATAAAAGTGTATATTAATATTTTTTTTAAAAAAGAATAAAAATACATATAAAAATAAAAATTCTATACACTTTTTAAAGTAAGTTATTCCTAAATATTTTTTATGTTTATCAAACATTTTATTTATAGTAAAAAAAATATTACCAAATTTTTTATACTTTATTTATTCACTATAAATTTTTAATCACGTGCTTTTTGCCTAGTCTAAAAATTCTCAAATAAGATTTTATCGAGATAATATATATTTTTTTATCCACTCTTGTGAGGCTCACCATTTGGTCCATTTCATGTTTTTATTTTTATTTTTATTTTTTATCCTAATTTATTTTGAGTTTTCAAATAATAGAAATTCAACTTAGGAATTGAAGTGAAATTAGTGAAATATTCTTTGTTATGGAATCCTAAGTACATAAAAACAAAAAAGTGAAAATGTCAAAAGTAAAAAGCAAAAAAAAAATGTTACTTTTATAGGAAATAAAAACAAGGGCATTTTTGTAATTTCATATAGCATTAACGCGAAAATAGGAAACTTGCAAACAATTGACAAATTAGATATATTTTCGGGAGTAAATTCAGTGAGAAATTGTGATTTCATGTAGCCATTAACATTAAAACAGGTAACTTGCAATAATTGGAAGATTTTATATATTTTCTCGAGATATATATATAAGCAAAGTTGAACAAAGATTTTGGTGAAAGGAGGAGAAAACGAATATAAAAAAAAAAAATCCAGAATTAAATTTTAAAATATTAGCTTCCATCAACCAAACCCAATTATGCACGCTACAGGCCTTCCCAGAGTCCCACCGATTCAATACTCTCTCTCCTCTCTCTCTCTACACTAATACTTTCTCTCTCTAATACTCTATCTGCGCTGCGTTCTCTTCTTCTCGGTGTTCATCAAAATGCATTCGAATCAGTTGCTTCTCGAAGAACCAATACGTATGGCTTCAATCCTCGAGCCTTCCAAGCCTGTAAGTACCAAAAGCTATAGTAGTATTCCACTAATTTCACTTCAATTCCTGTTGATCCTTTAATCATGACGAATATATTCATGTATTTGTATGTATAGTTGTATGATTTTGTACTTCAGATAGCATTATCAGTGGTAAAGCTTTCCTTCTCAACTGAATAATTGGTTGAATTTTATGTGCAGACTTTCTTTCCTGCATTGACGAAGATCGTTGGAACCCTTGGCTCAAAATCACGATCAGTGGAGATCATTTCTGACTGCCTGAAGGCTGGAATGTCCGGTAATTGATCATTTGTTATGTTTGACATTGACGTCCTTCTGATATAATTCTAAGTTTATGGTTTTATCTTTCACTTATGCACACTCAACCTACTATTGGGTCAATTCTGGTGTGCTTTTTCATTTTGAAACAGAGATTTGAAACTTTGTTTTCTTTTCTTTTTCTTAATTATATGGACAGCAAAATGGAGGATAAAATAATTTTCAAGTCCCTCTTTACATAATTGAGCTTGAATTTGTAATGACTTGAGTTTTTCTCTTTTGAATTTATTTATTTTTCCCTATTCAGTGGCACGGTTTGACTTTTCTTGGGGTGATGTCGAATTTCATCAAGAGACATTGGAAAACTTAAAGGTTGCCATCAAGAGTACGAAGAAGCTCTGTGCGGTAAGCTTGTTGTTCCTGTATTACAACATGATTTTCAATTTTATTCAGGGGAAATGTATGCACACTGCACTTTTGTGCACTTCCACTCCAATTGCTCTTTTCTTTTCAAGGAAATGACATAATTGTCGTTCAAAACACTCTCATACTGCACAATTATCCCTAAAAGATATATTGCTCTCCACTTTTGAGGTGTAATTTTGTCATTTTCTTTATTAAAAAATTCAAGTGGAGTGCAATATAATATCCCATTTACTTGTTATTAGAGTTATCATTACTATTATTTTTCCTTTTGTTGCTTTTGAAATACAAGCTAAAATTTGATTTAGGATATATGACCTATAATTTCTACCCTTTTCCAGGTTATGCTAGACACCGTGGGTCCAGAGTTGCAAGTTGTTAACAAAACTGAGCACCCCATTTCACTTGAGGCTGAGACCTTGGTTGTTCTGACACCTGATCAAGACCAAGAAGCCTGTTCTAATCTATTGCCAACAAATTTTGGTGGACTAGCAAAGGTAAGTATTTCAATGTGAAGACACCTATACCTGTAATAATTTCAAGTGCATATTAGATGCGGGCATGCATATTACGCATGGACTACATGTCGTATAAATACAATATCTAGTCTAGAATTTAAATTGATGGTACTGGCATATGTGAAATTGCATACTTCTCTAGTTTTGGCGAGAAAATGGGTGTGATTTTTATTTAACATGGCGGTCTTCACAATCTCAACTAGAGACAGACTAGGTGGCCACGGAGGCATGGACCATGCTACAATATAAATTAATTAGAGGTGTGTTTCCAGGCCCACTTAGTTCGGTCTGCACCTAGAAAAGCATATGGTTGAATACACAATTACAACTACTATTAACCGAGAACATAAGATAACTTTGATTGTATTCTACCCTAAATTTGTTCTGCTCATCCAGATGCAATCTCATCCAATTTTGTTTTTCATTGTTACAGTTTGATTTGTGGCCATCCTTTTATATAGTATCTTTATACATGCTATATGTAACTGATGCTGCTAAACACTCTTAACAATCCTTCTGACGTGTTGAGATTTTCATGAATAATTGTTCTGTTTAATGTTTAGTGATGGGTGATTTCAGAATCACAATGCTTAGTGAATTGAGAATCTGTTATGATATCATTAGAAAGTTACTGTGCAATAAGCAATGCGTTAATCCAATTCACATGACCAAATCACTAAGCATAATAATGCCTTGCGAATGTATGGAGCTACCCTTCTTGTATGCGATTAGCATAATCTAGAAAGAAGAGAAAAAACATTAGCTCGTACTTCCTATATCCCAAAAGTCTTGGGGTGTTTGGGGAATCCAACTTTTTATGGTAGTGGGTTTTAATATTTTTTATTGTATTGATAAGAGTGAATTTCCAAATTTATCCTTATTAAAAGACAAAAGAATGCTCCGTAATTAGTGCACAAGTCAATGTCAAAAGGATAGTTTAGGTATATTATAAAAATAGTACATTTATTTTTCGAATGAGACATGTATTTTGGACATCCCAAAATAGAAAGATGGACATGAATTTTGGGACGGAGGGATTATTTGGTTAAATTGATATCACATATAAAAAAGTATTTATGCGAATATATTCTTTCATCTCAATATATATATATATATATATTTTTTTTTTAAATAAGTATTCTCTTATCTCATTCATTGATCCTTGAGCCGTTTTAACTTTTAGGTTTTCTTTCTCTTTTCTAAAGCCCTCTGAAAAATAAGGTTATCTTATCTACTATACCTTTATATAATGGGAGAAAGAATACCATTACCTAGTGTTGCTCTTATAGATACGTGTGCTAGAAGGGTTGGATGGCTACAATCCTATACTATAGTTCTGGTTACTAGAAGTAACTCTTCAACTTGAATCGGCACTCTCTTTCTTGACAGCTTGAGATTTTTCTATTACACTAAGCAATGGCCCCTTCATCTCATCATTTTGGAGTAGGTGAATTCCTTCATAGCTCTAGCAGATGAAGAGACTCTTTTATTCCCATGGTTATGCCTTTTCTCTTCAAATTAATCATGAAAGTATTCTGAAGGGTATTTAGTGATATATAATCATTTTTTTATGTAGTTCCATTACATACTCACCTTCTTTGCACTGTTAGCATAATCTAAAGCTTAAGTTGGTCCTCGCAGGCAGTGAAGACAGGAGACACTATTTTTATTGGGCAATACTTGTTTACTGGAAATGAAACAACTTCTGTGTGGCTGGAGGTAAGGCAATGTTGGAGGGATGATATGAGTTTTTATTTAACACAGATTTTCTTTGCCTCTGGTGGCTGGACAAAAGTTTGACTTCACTAAGTTGGTTCGGAATTAGCTAGGCATGTCAAATCACCTGATTTCTTGTTTTTGTCATCCTTGAGTGGAGGTGCAATATTTACATGGCTGGCTGCTTGCCTGCCTTCTTTATCTAAACTGTTCCATAGAAATCCTGTATCAAAATATAACAATTAGCCTCTGTGGTCACAACAGCAGTAAAGGCATCTTTAAGGCTTTTGTGGATAATGGTTCTGTTTTCATTGTTCGCCCAAGAGAAATAGTCTTTTAATTTAAAAGGTAGTGCCAGCGTCAACTTAAATAAGGATGAATTGGATGCCCTAGAGTTTCATGTGATTAATGAAGTTCCCTTCACACAATGCAGGTAACTGAGGTAAACGGGGAGGATGTGGTTTGTCTGATAAAGAATTCTGCTACATTGTCTGGGTCATTGTACACTTTACATGTCTCTCAAATTCGCATTGATCTACCCACCCTCACTGATAATGATAAGGAGGTAGGTTGTTCTCTGCATCAAATATTTTTCCATTCCCAGCATCAGTCTAAATGCTATGGTGTTAAGCGTAAATCCTTTCTACTTCACTAACTTGGTGTGGGAAATGGTTGGCATTATTTTATATAGTGCTACCTGGAGGGATTTTTACTTACAGGCAAAACTTAAAGAATTCATTTCTTGAAGATCTGATTGTTTTGTTTCTTATCTTCTAGTAGTGATGAACTTATTTTCTTTAGTTATCATATTTGAATTCTCATGGGTCTTCGGGATTAATCATATTTATTAAATAATGATGCTATGATCAATATACTTCTTAAAAATCATTTAATAGTTAAAATCCCATGTCATCTACATAGCTGAGTCATATTTAACTCTACCAAATTTTTTTTACTAACCATTTCAGATTATAAGCACTTGGGGTGTCCGAAACAATATTGACATCCTTTCATTGTCATATACCCGGCATGCAGAAGATGTTCGACATGTAAGGACTATTCCTGCTTGGTTTTGTTGTCTACTTTATTTTTCTTATGTTGAGCCATTTGTTTTATCCACTTCTCTTTCTTCATCTCTTAATTCATGTTCTTTGGATTAGCTTCGGACTTCACAATACATGTAATGTATATTAAAGGTTCAACAACTGTTTAGCCCTCCTTTTGTTTTCTTGTCCTATTATGTAAAAGCTATTCTTGCTGTCATGCAGGCTCGTGAATATCTTTCTAAATTAGGTGACCTCAGTCAAACTCAGATTTTTGCAAAGATTGAGAATGTAGAAGTGAGTTGGATCAGTTATTTTGATTTTTCTGGAGTATTTCAAATTCAGCAGCTGTGCTTGAATGAAAATGTAATTTCGAGATTCATTTTTCTCACATCTTGCAGGGCCTAACCCATTTTGATGAGATCTTACAAGAAGCAGATGGCGTCATTCTCTCTCGTGGAAATCTGGGATTAGATCTCCCCCCAGAAAAGGTTACAGCTTCAACATTAGAACATTATAAGCTAAAATCATCCCCACAAAAAAATAATAAAAAATTCTGATATATATCAGCAACGTGTGGACATTATAAGCTGATGTATACACAAATATATCCGGATCTTGTGATTTATTTTTATTTTTTATTTTTTATTTTTTATTTTTTATTTTTTTAAATTTATATATGCGGAGAACATGCCAACCAAAGACCATGGACAGTAACTGAACAGTGTGGAGAAGTTGCTGATGGTAACTAGAATTGGTGTTTTCACTTATATTCTTGCTGTCTGTTTTTTCTTATATGTTTATATTTATGTGCAGTACTGTTAATGGAAGATTCCTGACTAGAATCTAATTAGATTTTTATTTCAGGTTTTCTTATTTCAAAAGGCAGCTGTTTTCAAGTGTAACATGGCTGGGAAGCCTGCAGTGGTTACTCGTGTAGTGGACAGTATGACTGACAACTTAAGACCCACCCGTGCTGAGGCAACTGATGTGGCCAATGCTGTATTGGATGGTAATTTTAGTTCCCTTATATGAGATGTGGTGCCCTTGGTCTTGTGGGTTTCCTTAATTACATCATTTTTGTTCCGAAAGATACCTATTTTTATTGGCTATAAATGATAATTCTGTCCCCTTATAGCTTTCTTCTGTTGATCACAATCAACGTCCATTATGATTATGGCATAAACCAATTTAGGATCTTATGATTTCTGTCATTGTTTATTTGGTTCAGGTAGTGACGCAATTCTTCTAGGGGCAGAGACCCTAAGGGGATTATACCCTGTTGAGACTATTTCCATTGTTGGTAAAATTTGTGCTGAGGTAGGATTTTCCCTCTCTCTTTTGTTAACTACTTTTCCCTCTCTGAAATGTGCAACTTTATTTCTAATGTTTTCTATATGAAATCTCTCTCTCCCCAACTATTGTTGCTGTAGAGAGAATAAAAAATTAGCCGCATGTCTAATATTTTTATTAGTGGTCCTTCTGACACGGTTCTACCATCTCTGATGTTGTGTTGTCCACTTATAGTATAGTTCGCTCTAAACTAGCTTCTCCACAAACATATTATACAACTTTTTAAGTCTTCCTAGCAAGTTGTCTTGCGTGGCTACCATTTACCACATTGGTGACTTTCCCTAACCTTTATGGTGTGTAGGAATCACGTGCATGTCACCAGGGGGGCCATAGCAATGTTCGACAGGTGTCGGACTTTGACGTCATACATGTTGGACTGCTAAGCTTGCCCAATTATTTTATTTATTTATGTTTTTTTTTTTTAAATCACATTTTAGATCTACAGAAGATATGGAAGACATGCTCGGGCATGTTTGGGACTCAGCGGCGGGGCCATTGTGCAATTTAAAAAATTTAAAACGGGTGTCATTTTGTGAGAAACTATAGAGTTCGGGTGTTAAGATGTGCTTTTAATTAGTCTGGAATTTTGAAGCCCCACTGCTTAGTAGATTGAGAGTGAGAGAGACGATGATGGAATCCTTCTTCATGTCTCTGTGTTGAGTCTATTGGAACAAGATGACCTTTTATAACCAAACCCTTCTATGTTATTTATATTAAGTACCCTAGTTTTATTATATGTTATCTACATGACCTCTGACATCTCATTTGTTCAATTTATGAAAGTACACTGACTTCGAAATAATTCGTTTGGACAAAAACAATAATCTAATAACGAGGATATCATTCGTCTAGATTACCTGACTAAAAAATGGAGAGTACAGGATTTATTGTTATTTTATATCCATATTGCTTCTGTAAGTAATGATCATACCCTCTCCCTGTAACCCTAAATTTTTTATGTTCTTTATATTATACATACACACACAGCCGTGCCCTCATGTCTTTTTGTATGCCTGTCTAACAAATATTTCAATATTTTATGTGCCCATCTCTATTGATGTAGAACCTAGCTAATTTCGGAATAGATGCTAATCTGTTTGAAATGTGTTAGGCATCCTTGTTTTTATTATGGGAGAATGGTATATTTGATCAATTGAAACTTCGTATCTTGGTAGCAAGTGGCAATGCAAAGAAAACATTCTCATTTTTTTTCGCTATTCATGACTTTAATCTCTCTCTGAAAATAAAAGTTAAAAAGAAAAAAACGTAATTGAGATTGGCTGTACCAAGTTGCATTCCTTTGTTTGCCTTTTGAGATTCATGTTCTTACAGGTTCATCTAATGGTTTTATGCTAGGTCTATGTCTATCATAAAGTATTAGGCTTGGTTGGTGCTCATATATGATTTCCTCTGCCCATTTCTGATAGAGGCTAGAATATCTGTTGAAAAGAAATAGCATATGTTAATTTGGTCGATTTAAGTTGGAGCCAGTGATCCGAGTTTTCTGGATTTTGAAATATTTCATTAACAACATAATGTTCATGCTTAACTTCTTCCTTGATCTTTTGATATTATCATGTGGATGAGAGTTATTCAATCAGAATGCTATCTGCAGGCAGAGAAGGTTTACAATCACGATCTCTATTTCAAGAAGACTGTCAAATTTGTTGGAGAACCAATGTCCCACTTGGAAGCTATTGCTTCCTCTGCGGTATTTTTATTTTGAAATTCCAATTTTTATTTTTATTTTTCATTTCTCTTGGTAAAATTTACCATTATATCTGCTCATAGAATTGTGCTTTGGTACAGAGAAATCTTCTTCAGAAAAGTGGTTATTTGTTTTAATATTATTCTTGCTCACTGTTTTGTTTAATCTAGGTACGCGCCGCCATCAAGGTGAAGGCATCTGTCATCATTTGCTTCACTTCATCAGGAAGAGCAGCGAGGTTTCCCTTCTTTCTTTTCCTCTGGTTAAAAATGGATATTTAAAAATAATTGCTAATGTGTTGGGTGTGTAGAAAATTGTATAATTTTCTATTTTTCCCATGAAAGTTGGATTTGGGTGATCCACAGTAATATATTGTCTTTGTGCAACATTTTATATTTACTTGGTTGCACATATATTAATTAGACTTTTACATTATTTCACCACATTGCAGGTTGATCGCGAAGTATAGGCCCACAATGCCTGTGCTATCAGTTGTAATACCTCGGCTCAAGTCAAATCAACTACGATGGACATTTAGTGGTGCTTTCGAGGTATATTATATGCATAGATTTATGTATGATTTCCACTACCGCAAGTTTGTTCAATAGAATTTTGGTATTCCTTGATGGAGGACATGCTATTGTTATTGAATTTTTAACAAGTAATTTTATGGTAGGCATGAAAGATATGCTTTTTTTAATCACTATATGATCTTATGAAACTTCCAACCCAAATAAACAACAAAGTGCTGTAAAGATTGGAAGCTATTTACATGTATCATCTTCTACTTCTACTGATTGCCTTCTCTGTCATATCTGAAGATTAGCTAAGAAATGCAATAAAAAGTAGCACATACCTGTGACTGCTCCAATGGCTGATAAACCTTCTCCTCATGTGAAAACTACTTGCAGTTATGACATCTCAAGTTGTGTTGCTACTTGGTAGAAACTCTAATGTGGTTAGTTCAGCCTCTCATGGTCGTGTCGAGGACCAATTTTGGGTTGCTTTAGACCTGTTATTGTCATCTTATTAGTGTCCATGGTAAGAATTATATCTGCATTTCCATTTCATCTTATTTCTCATGTATGAGAAGTATCTTAAGTAGTGTTTTAGGAATCAAACTTGGGTCTTCCGGATGATGATCCACATTCTTTGTAATCGTTGAATTACATGTAATGAAATTGTGGATTTCCTTTTTACTTTCCTATTTGTGCCATGACAATAGCATAAGAGCTAAACTCTCTTCTCTCTCTCTCTTTCTCACCGTTGTTGTCTTTTGAAGTTATGAATATAGAAGTGCACATCAACGTTACTTGGTTCTAAAATTTCTGCTTCATATGTTTCTCTGTTCCATGTTTCCATCTTTTAGTTCGTTTATACGTGCATATAGGTATTCTTGCTTTCTATACTGATTGTTGAATCAAAATTAAATCTGATCGTCAATATATGTTCCTTGACATTCTGGGCAGGCAAGGCAATCGCTTATAGTCAGAGGCCTTTTCCCGATGCTTGCTGATCCTCGACATCAGGTAAGTGTGTTTGGTTTAGTGAGAATCTTTCTCGGCATTCTCCCCATTTTTGGTTTGTGATGAAAAGTTTTTTATGGTCTACATTCTTCTCTCCCCCTCCCTCCTGCTAGAGAAGTGTTGTCATAGAATTTCAGTGATTCATTAACCCGATTCCGGAATGTAGATGGTGCTAGAAAGCTAAACCTGCTTCCAATTGCTGCATGAAAATATCTGTTTCACAGTGATGGCAACATTGAATAATCCTCCAAACTGCTTTTTCTTTTGATAGTTTCTTTCTGCTAAACGGGTAGATGCCTGTCACACAATGTTATTTCATTTTACATTAGTTAGAACTTGAATAGCACATATGCCCGACATTACAGTCATACCGATACACGTCCATCATGTTACAGTTTGTGCCCTCTCTCTAAAGCTTTTTTATCCTTTATTTATAATTGGAACTAAGGCTGGCATATGCTTGACCTTGCAGGCTGAGTCTCCAAGTGGGACAAATGAATCCATCTTAAAGGTTGCTTTGGATCATGGCAAGATCTCTGGTGTCATAAAGCCGCACGATCGTGTCGTCATTTGCCAGAAAGTCGGTGATGCTTCTGTGGTGAAAATCATCGAGCTTGAAGATTAGAACTTGTACTGCACACGCTATTTTGAGTATTTTTCTTTCTTTCTTTAGAGTCTAGAAAGCTTTCTTCAGGGTCACACTAATAATGGTTTTTACGCTCAGAAGATATAAGTTCCTGTCTAAATTAACATGTTTTAAGGCTGTACGAGGAATTTTTCTTTGTGAGTCTTGAAAGCTTTCCTCAGGCTCACTAATAATCGTTTTTGAGCTCAGAAAGACAAGTAGATGTATTTATTTATGTTTGCAATTTTTATTTATTATATATATATTTTTCCTTTAGAGCATGTGTATCGGTTCCACAACACACCCACTATTCAAGTCAAGAGTGCGGTTCAAAAGTAAAATCTTAAGGACTTACCTCTCGGATCCCTGCCAACATTGCTCCAGAGAGCATTTATATTTGCAACTTGACGAACCCTTTCTTATATAACAATATTTTTTACCCCGATTTATTTATGTTAGTATGTGGATTTCTTACTGTTGGTAACTCCCGTTTTAGACTGACTGGTATGAATATTATCAAGTACATTTTATGTTGGTGAGACTGTTTTTATCCACGAGTTTACGTAGGTTGGTTGGAAATGCGTTATACAAACAGTGTTATCGGAAAATATTACTAGAATCCTCTCCAGTGTACCAGTATATAACAGTGCAGTTGGTAGGGTTACGATTGACCCAGGAGCACTTGGGTTTCACCGTTGAATTTAATTTTAGCTCTAGTTAGTGCATCGCGGAATACAGGTTATCTAAGATGAATGATATTTTTCTTCATTCATTTTTGGGGTTATGTTTCATCTCTTACTTGAATTAATTATTAAATAGTAGAGTGTTTTTTTTTTTTTTTTTTTGAAAATGATTGTAAATTAAAAGAATAATGATTTGTGAGTCGAATTTGGCAGCTCTAGGTAGTGCACCGCAGAATACAAAAACTGTCTTGAAAGAAAGAATAGAGAACAAATAAAGATTTTTTTCTTCATTCATTTTTGGGGGTCATATTTATTGTTGATTTTTTTGGAAATGATTGAAAATTAAAAGAATAATGATTTGTGAGCCGAATTCTCCATTTTTAACTAATAATTGAAAGGTGTGTTAAATGATTCATTTGAATTTTCTTTTATATATATTTAAAATAAAAAAATTGGATGTAAAATGAAATATATATATATGTATATATATAAATCAATTGAAGTAGATAACTCTTTTTTGCTTAAAAAAAGAAAGAGTATTTTTCAATTTTTGTATGTCTGTATTATATGTGGACTAGCTTCGTCTGTATTTTGTTAACGCGATCAACTTAAGCGTTTTGTTTAGATATAATTCCAGTGAAACCCACAAAGCAAGTAGCGCCCGTGGCCTAATGGATAAGGCGTCTGACTTCTAATCAGGCGACTGTGGGTTCGAGTCCCACCGGGCGTGATTTGTCATTTTCCTCTTTCATTTTTTGAAGTGTCTCTATTTTTTATTTTAATCATTTTGTGTTTGATGATTTTGATCACCCCCACTACCTTATTTTTTATTTTTTTTTTATTTTTTTTTTATTTATTTATTTTTTTTTTTTCGGTTTGCTTTACTCCCATATGATGTAGCTGAAATGATCTTTTTCTAATCTTTTCTATTACATGTTATTTTACTTACTATGTTTATTTTTTTTTGACCATTTTTTAATAACTCCATTCTATGTCAATTTTAGTCTCTCTCTTCGTTTAATTGTGGCCATCTATAACAGATAGTCTTCTTCGTTTTACTTGCGCATCAATAGATCTCCGATGTATGTGTTCAAACCATCTAAGTCTACTACTATTTTATTTTTTCGTTGATGGTATAACTCTTAAATTTTCTCTTATACTTTCACAGTACCTTTTATCACTTCTAGTCACTCCAACCATCCATCATAACATTCTCATTTTGCTTAGATAACCTTATTACTTATAATCATTCCAAATTTTTTTGATTGGTTTGATCACCCTCTTTTTTTTCTCAATTTTTTTTAATTATTATTTTTATTGTTATTATTTTGAAGAGTGTCTCTGTCCTTTTTCATTTTGTGCCAAATTTGGTTGGTTTGATCACCCTATTTTTTCTTTTCAATTTTTTTTTTAATTATTATTATTATTATTTTTTGTAAAATAAATTTTCTCTCTTGAAAGTTCAAATAACGCACGCATCATCTTTATTTTAATCTCATATAAATGTTGTCGGTCACATAAATTCTCCTTTTTCAATCTTTTTATATGTCATTCCACTTACCATGTTTTTTATTTTTATTTTTTTGATCATTTTTAATCTCCCTCTTCATCTCTAACCTTCCATGACACTTCATTTTACCATACTTCTATAGATATACAATATATGTGTTTAAACCATCTAAGTCTATTCTATCTTAATTTTTTGTTGATGAATGCAACTCTTAATTTTTCCCTTACACTTCCACAATGACCTTATCACTTCAGCCATCAGTCCTAACATTCTCATTCTGCTACATAACCGTGTCACTTCTAAATTTCTAATCACTTGGACCATCCATTATAACATTTTTCAATTAGCTACATATAACATAATTAGTCTAATAACAATCTTATAGAAATTTTCTCTCATCCTATTTCAATTCTTTATCTTTTTGTATAATTAAAATCCTAAATAGCGAAAGTGATTATTTTGAATAATTTTTAAATTTTTTGAAATATTGTCATTATATTATCAATATAAAGTCTTTATTATATTTACACTTTTTTTTTTTTTTTTTTTTTTAAGCTATTATATTTACACTTCATATACTCGCTTTCCTCAAATTCAAAATTTGAGAGAGAGAGAGAGAGAGAGAGAGAGATGAGTGGCACAGAGAGCTTGGTAGAAGTGGCGTTGCGAGTCCTGAACACGGCCGATCCAGTTGAGAAGGCCCGACTCGGCGACGAAGTGGCCAACAAATGGCTTCAAGGTCTCATCACTCAACCCTACGACCCGTCTCAACACTTCACCGTGCCGGATCGACCCGCCAGACTCACCAATGTAGTAAACTACCACTTCTCCATTTCCTTCCATCCGTTTGATATAATGACTCAATGAAACATACTAACTATACATGCACTATATATATATATATATATACAGGTAAAGCTAGTGTCACCCAGTCTGATGCCGAAGCTTGGGAAGGCTGGAAGCTTACAGAGCAGACAGGCTATTGTGCACAGTCTTGTTCACACTGAAAGCTGGGCCATTGACTTGTCTTGGGTACTTCTTCAACTCGTTTTACTTTACACAAACCATTTTTGTTGCAAAACCTATATGATCTGAATACAAACAGTATTGGAGTGCATTTGATGTTAATGGAATGCCAAGGGTCATTTTGATTTGAAACTTATGGTAGAGATGATGGGCAACAGAGTTTGTGTTGAATGATGCTCCCGGTTTTTTGGTTTGTACAACAATACATTTATTAATGATTATATTTATGGTGTGGATAAGTGTCATGGAGTCTTGGGTTCATAAGGGTGGGTAGGCGGCACCAATTAACAGCTTAAGCTTTTGGGTTGGATGGCAATTACCTGGCCCCATGCAATAATCTATAAAGAAATCCCCATGGGCCATGGATTAATGTAGTAGGGGCATTTTTGAATTTCTTGGAATGGTTATCTTTTAAAACTGATAAATGATGTTTCACATTGGTCTACGTGGACACTTTGTGCTTTGTATAGCAATAATTACATACCATGTTTTGAGGATTAATCCATCAAATGGTTTTGAATCGGAATTATCATTGTTAACGAACCCTTTAACTAGTTGAAATCTCTGTTGTCATTAGACTCTAGCTAGGACCACACATTTGTTAACTTATAGGCACTTATGTTTTCATCTGATTGCATTGGCTAACGTGTTTTTCTTGGCAGTAATTACGTGCTTGTAATGATGTTTATTCAAATCAAATTACTCTTTCTCACTTGAATAACATGATCAGATTGTTATATGAATTCATTTTCTTTGTTCTATCCGTTGTTGAATCATAATCGTATTGCATCCATATCAACATTTTTGTTTTAGTATTTCCAATTAATTGTAGGATATAATTGCTCGTTTTGGTAATCAAGAGGCAATGCCGAGAGAGTTCTTCACCGATTTTGTAAAGGTGGCTCAAGATGAAGGCCGGCACTTCAGCCTCCTTGCAGCAAGGCTTGAGGAACTGGGTTCTTTCTATGGAGCACTGCCAGCTCATGATGGCCTTTGGGATTCAGCCACTGCTACTTCTGAGGATTTGTTAGCACGCCTGGCTGTTGAACATTGTGTTCATGAGGTGGGCTCAATTATCTTTGGCTTTGCTACCAGATTTATTTAGATAGAAGTGACTTAACATTACATAGAGATCAAATCATTCCCTGGTTACATTTTATGCCATTTAAACACATAATGTTCTTGATGAGGTCATTATATTAAAATTTGTTCATATTATATCTTGAAGTCTTAAGAATTTCATTGATGCAATGAGTTAGGTTAGTTTCAAGACACAAAAAGGACAATTTTAGATGCTATTTTTGTCATAATAGAATTATTCATTTTGACATCTTACCCAAACAATCATTCAATTTTTGAAGTTCAATTTTGTAACTCTATTGAGTCAGAACACAGGCTAGAGGGCTTGATGTGCTGCCCACAACCATCTCTCGCTTCCGCAATGGAGGTGATAATCAGACAGCTGATTTACTAGAGAAGGTAATTTACCCAGAAGAGATTACCCATTGTGCTGCTGGAGTAAAATGGTTCAAGTATCTTTGTTTGAGGTCGAAAAACTTAGTTGATGAGAGCAGCATGGTCTTTGAAGAAGGTGGAGCCAGAGAGAGTGACAGAATAATGGAGGAGAATGACGAGGTGATTCAGAAGTTCCATGCAACTGTGAGGACGCACTTCAGGGGGCCATTGAAGCCTCCTTTTAATGAGGCAGCAAGAAAAGCTGCCGGGTTTGGCCCTCAATGGTATGAACCTCTTGCTGTTAAAGACGTCATACCAGAATGATAGACTATTATTTCAATTCTAGTTAGCAACAATCATCATCATATAGGTTGATGCAATAAAATCATATATATTTATTTATTTTTAACATTGTTGTTGCTGTTGTTGATATTATTATTCTGTTTTCTGTGATTTTACAAAGCAAATATGTGTCCACATATTTAAGTAAGCTTTTCTTTGGCAAATGCAAGTTGTATTTAGACTCAATTCTTTCTTTACAATGCAAGTTTTACTTTATGCCCAAAGTGGGTTGTGGTATCACAAGCTAATGTCTCTCAATTATAGAATGCCTTGCACCCTATAGATGCTCAGCTACCACCAACATAAGAAAAATAATATTACACCATTTTAACTTATGGGAAGCTTGCTCATCTCGGTATCATGCTCTAGGCTTTGCTTGAAATATAGACACGGATCAGAATAACTCATTTGGTTGATTTATACTAGTGAAAACTTCTTTCTGTTGTTGGTTCAATATTAAAAGGTTCTTAATAGAGGGAGCAAGAGCATGTTTCCTAAGCCAGAACTTCGACAGGTTCAAACTATGCACAAAGCTCTAAATAATCTCCAGTTCATTATTATTTGTTTCTTTTGCATGTGCTAATCAGAGGTTGCTTTGGTTTTAGAAAAAAAACAATGTAATTAATTAGAGGGAGTGAGAAATGACCAACCTTGTTTTCAATGTTCATATGTAAAAGAACAAATTTTCCCATTTCCAGTTGACATTGAAACAATAACAAGGCGTCGTGCAAGTTGCATCAACTCAATGGAGTCTATGGCATGAAAATTAGGCATTGGATTTGTGCATAAACTTGACAATCTGTCTTACTGCTGAGACATGAATATGTGAATCAACAATGTGACATTTTCATCATCATCTTCTTCTTTATTTATTTATTTATTATTTTTAAAGCTGAATTTGATCTACTTGGATTCATCCAAGAAATCCAAGATTAGAGTTTCTCATGCAATAAGATGAAGAATAAGAATACAACCTCGATAAGTATTATCTGCTTTAAATTCTGAGTTCTTTCATCTTATTGAGCCAGCAGCTCTGTAAGTAGTCACATTGTTATATCAATATTAAGAAGCATGTCCTGGTAATGTTTTGACAAAGTGAATTACAGCTTTAGCAGCATTCAGAGCTGCTAGAGGTCCAAAGATATCAATTTGGTTTTTCCCTGGCTGTCCCCCGGCTAAGTCCGATAATCCTCGAATGACGATCACTGGGAAGCCATTCGACAAGCTTGTCTGCCAAACCACCAATTTAAGTTGGTCATTGGACTGATAAATTAGCTTAGTTGCATAACATTAAAAGTGCAAAACACATCAACATTTATAAGGCCTGAAGGAAAATGCAGCACTATATGATTCCAAACTGTACGAAAGCATATCGTCACTGGGAGTGAAAGGAGGTCCTCTCAGGGGTTATCTCGAACCTGAGATAGCTAACCTGAATCTAGAAAATGCAGATATGGTCACAAGAATGTTAGGCTAGCTGGGGACTGGTGTATCACTGATTGAGCCAAGGGTCTCCTTGTTTCGCGAGTCGTGCATTGTCATACAGCTCAGAAAAGTACGGTGAATCTGGGGTGGTAAAATTTAAGTCTAATGATGACTGTACAGGGTTGATTAGCAGGGCTTTTAGGTGTTAGTGTAATTAGGCACCCTGGAACTGAGCTTAATGATGCCAGGACTGAACTGTCTGTGTGTGTGTGTGTGTGTGTGAGAGAGAGAGAGAGAGAGAGAGAGAGAGAGTTTTTGTTGTGCCAAACTCAAACTGTCCTATTGCCTACTACATATACTAAAAGGTGAAAGAGAGAATGTAAGACACTGCTTAGCCAAGTAGCAAAGAAAGTTACCATTACTACAGCTGCACTTTCCATATCAACTGATGAAACCTGAAAAGTTCGAAACAGGAAGTCCCTGTAAGCTGCATTATCCACAAAGATGTTGGCACTTGAGCCCCTAAGTCCAACCAGTAATTTTGGCTTTTCTGGAAGGCACAGGCTTGAGTTCACGCATCGTTCTAGTTCCATCCCCTGTAATACCAAAAGCTGAACACATTAAATCATGTCGTAAATTTTCAACCATGAAAGTAACCTGGCAAGCCTATCTGTAATGCCAATAAAGAAGTTGTTTTCATTTACCCGCCGCCGCGCGTGCCGCGGGGGGGGGGGGGGGGGGTGGGGGGTGATAGAAGTTGCAGCATTCCATTAATGTGGTTTTATTTGAATTAAAAGAAATATCATATTGATGACTTTGGAACAGCATTTGTTTAGCAGAAGCTCTAGCTCTAGAAGGTGTCATTTTAGTATTTTTACAGAGGAGAATCATCGAGAACTTGCTTATGACCTGATTGTTAACATTTTGGAGATCAAATTTCTCAAGTTAAATAGTTGTATTTAAGGTTAGGGTAAAGTAAAAGCATGGGCTGTCACGCGTTAGAACGCAAGTTCAGCTCTGAAAGCACTCACTCTGTGCAAATAATAGGCTAATTCCACTCCTTCGAACACTAACTAGAACCACAATGTTTAAAAGTAACAATGAAAGGGAGTTTGAATTAGATGGATGTCTAACCTGCAATCTGGCAGCTAAACGAAGCCAATTATCTGTTATCTGTGCCCAAAGCAATCTTTGAGCTTTGTTAGGCGTACCGGACTCAGAGAAAAATTGCTCAGGGCTATAGCCAATATGTCCCAAAAGATTACTTCCATCTCCTTTGGGCATGTTGTAGCTTCCAATGTCCAAGTGAGCAACATCATTAGTTCCCATTGTTCCGTTAGGTTTCTGTCCACATTTAAATTCTATAGATCATAATCTGTCATTTTAGGGAAAGTGACTAAAAGGTACAAAAAGTTCAAGTGAGGGTAGTTAATTAACTTCATACCAGCCAATCCCAAAGGCCAGTGTGAGCAAATTGTTTTGGAATGGTGACATCTCCAATAGACATGGAATTGTTGACATTGCCTGCAATTCCGAAATGTATTACTCCCGTTATGTCAAACACATCCAACATCTGTTGTGTTGCTGCAGCAGCATTTACCTGAATGAAACCGTGACTCAATTTAAGTTAGTCGATAATATTACATATGCTTTCTACTCATCTTCCATGAATAATGTCTTCAAGTGGCGTACTCTAGATGTCCTCTTGTCTAAAAACTTATAACTGAAAACTTGCTCAAGTATAGATTGATTCCTTTAAGCCTAGTTTGTATGAGTTATTGCTATGAGAAGGGGACTGATTGAGCTATTGCTATCAGACATGGTTGTTTGGGGTTATAGACCTTCTCTGATAATTAGTTGGATGAGGCATCCTCAGTGAAGCTCCATTTACCCTCTCAAGGTCAGGCCACATCAGCTTTTAGTCCACCTCGAGACCTTGTCACATCATGGTTCTCATCATTGAATGGGCTAAAAGTAAATGCAGCGAGATCTGAGAGGGTAAATGGACGTCAAGGTACTGGAGAGGATCCTTGATGCCATCTTTTTTTTTTTTTTTTTTTTGGTTGTCCAGAAACTCACACGCCCATTTGCCCCTATAGGGATTTGAACCCTGCCTTCCACTTTGGGAGGTAGAGGAAATTCCATTAGACTATAACCCTTGTGGCTTGTTGCCATCTTCTAAGTACGAGCAATCTTGGTTACTCAAAACAAGTTCTTATCACTGAAGTTGCAAACTTGCAAAATATGAGCTGGTGCATCAAAATAAGGAGCTTTAGGTAGGTCAGTGTACCATTCCCATTCCACATCTCACATAAATGGCTTTCTTCCCTTCAATCTGTCCCACCCGGAATCGCCTACCTGAAAAATCCAACTGTCCTTTTAACTAACTACTCAAGTAACACAACCTACAAACTCAAAATACAAGTTCATTAAGAGAGTCTGTTCTCTACCTGACAGGTCCACAAAAGGGTGTCTTGGGTGAGGCTTAAATGCGCCAGTCACGAAGAAGGCATCCTCTTCAGGGGGATAGACTGTGATGAGACCAAGGTATGGCCCTTTGCGATTCAGCGCCTTTATTGTGTCCAAAGACTTCCATCTTCTCAGTGGAATAGCCGAAGCAGGAAACACGAGCAAGGAGATCAAAAACAGTGTCAATAAATATGGTGTGACCTGTATTGCAGCCATGGCTGGTTGATGAGAGCTCGAGATAACTCCTACACTCGAACAAAATTTTGGTCAGCATTGCCGGCTACTAGTGTATACTCTCCATGCTAAATCATTGTCAAAGTTTCATCAGCAATGACGCGTGCAAAATTACAAATGCATCCATTATATATATTGGGGAAAAGTGCAAAAAACCCCCATGAACTATTAGAAACCATGCAACTAACCCCCTAAACTATCAAAATTGCATAAAACCCCCTAATCTATACATTTGTTGCAGATCACTCCATCCGGCGACCAGCCATCCAAAATTGAGAACGTGATTCTCACGCGACAGACAAATTAATTTTTTTTGGACAATAATGCCTTTCCACCCACTACGACGGGATTGAGGGAGAAGGAGATGATCTCCAAGGACGGCGGCCACCACCCATCTCTGCAAAATCCATAATCACCACCACGTTCAACCAAAACCATCACCGCCCCTTCACCCAAAACCTCCACAATTACCACTCATCCCCATTACAAAGCCACCACCAATTGCAAAACCAATTAACCTATATGCTCTCTGCAAAACCAAACCCAAATCATCACCATTGCAACCCAAATTAGCAGACTTTCACCACCAATCATCACCACCAATTATTTACAAAGCCAAGCCAAATAAATAAATAACAGCAACTGGAGAGCCAAATTAGCTTGGCTTTGGTTGAACGGATAATTTTAAGACATATGCTTGAGTATTTTTTACATAAAAAAAAAAAAACTGGAGAGACATCACCGCTGCCGCCACTTCAGCCCGTCGCCGTCGCCGAGCCAAGTTCTGGGAGGTGGTGTGCGCAGAGCACAGAATTCCAACTAGAGAGAGTGAACGTGTACTACAACGAGGCCAAAACTTTGCCGGCGACACACCCCCTTTCCGTCTTCACCCTCGCGGCCGAATTTAATTTCAGATTGAGACCCAATTGCTCTGCCTCAAGCACCACCGTTCCATCCCGCCAAGCAATGCCGCAAGCTTCTCTCTGTAACAGAGATGAAGCCTCTGTCTTCTGTTTCGTCGACGAAGCCACCTTTTGTGACACATGCGACCACCGTATGACACAACTGCCGCTGTGGAAAGCAGCCGAAAAAGACAAAGATGTAGAAGCTCTGAGACTTTCGAGACCGCCGTGAAGTTCTGCTAGGGCTTCTTCAACAGATCCGTCATTTTTCTCTCTCTATGTTTCAAGAAAAAACAGAGCAACCCAATATACCCACGCCGCCGCTGCTTCTCATCCACAGCCACCACCATCACATCGACGCCAACAACAGTCGCCGCCGCCTCTCCCCAACAACCACAGCCGCTACCGCTGCCATCGCCAAGCTTTCCCCAAGCCCATCCTCCATGCACCGCCGTTAGCACCCATCATCGTCGTCGCCAGTCGCACAACCTAATCGCCGGCGTCGTCAATCGCCAATCGATGGCCCAAGCGCACAACCTAATCGCCGTTCACATAACCCGTTTTCGACGGTGATGGGAGAAGCGACGGATAGCCACTTGTAAAGCCGAATCATCCTCTTCTCTTAAAAGAGGCAGCTTTGTTTTTCTTCTGTGAGTCAATTTCTCTCTCTTTCGTTGCTCCAATTCACAACTTTGAACGGCGATGGGGCATCAGCTCTCTCTCTCTCTCTCCCTCTCCCTCTCTCTCTGTGTGCAGAAAAATGAGGGCCCAAAATAAAGAGGTTAATTAATTGAGGGTATTGTTGTCATTTGGCTTTTTCGGCAACCTATTGTTAGTTCAAGGGGGTTAAATGTAACAATTTGTTAGTTTAAGGGAGTTTTATGTAGTTCAAAGGGTTAGTTGCAAAACCCCAATACTTCAAGGGGTTTTTTTGCACTTTTCCCTATATATTGTAATTTTTCTAATTTTTGTCATTTTCTATTTTCTAGATTTTTTTGATTTTTTCAAAGGTATTTTCGTATTTTCTCGTTTTGTGTGCCAAACATCGTGGGGTGTGCTGGAAGTGTCAGAGTATTATTTGGGACATTTTCTTGAGTTCAAGACTCTTGAAAATGTATTGCTTGCCATTTTGGCATTTTTCTGTTTTTGGGTCGAAAGGTCCAAAGTGGGACCCGCTACCGGAGTTGTTGCGCTTGGGAATTATTTTTTGGGGCCATTACTCCTCATACAATATTTTATGATGTATATTTATGTGGTTATGTATTTGGAAATGTGTGGTTGTGAGGTATTTAGTATATATATATTGTAACGACCCAAAAATTCTAATAAATGGCTCTGATACCATTCTGTCACGCTCCGAATTCTCTAAATAAAATCCTCGATTTATGCAAATCCAAATACATCAATATTCACCTAGGATCACAAAAATAATACCATCTTTTATTGATACAAAATCAATTCCTCAAATAAATATACATCTCTACATAAAATAAAATAATTCCTCAACACCAACTCTTTTACTTAAGCCCGCAACTAGCAATCCACGGTACCTGAAAGGGGTAAGACGGGGAAAGTTCCCATGGGAAAAACCATAACAAGGATTTCAAAAAATTTCATGCAAAATTAGCTTCATAAAAATATACATATACTTTAAACAAAATATATATATGTAATTTTTACAAAATAACAGCCAATAAAATATTTGAAAAAAAATCATCCAAACCATTCAAGGTATGAAGAACCCTACACTGAAAAATAAATTCAAACTGGAACATCTGGGCATCAAACTTCCGGCCCTCTGTGAACTGTCGGACCTCACTGTCTATCTCTGCTCTCACTCTTTAATTCTATAATTTTTCTTTTTTTCTTTGAATTCTCTAACTCAGTGCACAATACTCTTATATAAAGCAAATCCACCGATACTATACAAATATATATCTGCTCACCAAACAAATATTAAATATCCGCCACCCATTCGTTCTTACTTTTCCTTATCATTTCAATACCGAACAAAATCTATCTATCTGCCCCATAAAACAAAGCTTCAGCCACGTGAAGAAAAATCAAAGTCCAAAGATGTATACCAAAATCCTTTAAATGGACCCGCCACTAAATCACCACCATTTCAATTTCTTTTTCCTTGTTCTTTCTTTCTTATTCTCTAAATTATTGGCTACCACCCATTTTCATCCCATCCTTATTCGGCCGCTCCCTTCTTATCTCATCAAATGATACACAAAATATGTATATATATATTTAATATGAAACTAACTAAATCAAACCCATATAACATTTCATTTCAAGTGGTAAAACTCCAATTTAAAATTAAATAATCAATCTTTGATAACTAAAAATTATGAGATAAATATAATTTAAAGTCTTAAAAATTCGGGCTGTCATTTCAAGTGGTAAAACTCCAATTTAAAATTAAATAATCAATCTTTGATAACTAAAAATTATGAGATAAATATAATTTAAAGTCTTAAAAAATTCGGGCTGTCACAGTATTATGAAGTACATTGATTTGAATAAATCGAGAAATTTATTTAGAATTTTCGGGTCGTTACAGAAGGGTATCAGAGCCTGTACCCAGCTAGAAGTGTGAGTGTAGTGATGATGTATTTGACGGGTGTGAGTGGGCGAGCGTTTAGTTCTGGCAAGTTACCACTCATAGCCGGGTGAGTGTGGGCGGATGTCGTTCACTGGCAGCTACTTGGATGATTACTATTTGTGATTGGGCATATTTCCCGGGTTCACTTCTGGTTTTATTTTTGTAGGCGGGTGACGTCATTGATTTTCTACTGCAACGGTTACGGAGTGTGTGGGCGAGTAACTAGCATTGTTAGCTACCACAACGTTTTTTATGTCACGGTATCTCACATCGCCTTCGGTAAGGATTTTTGGATTATGTTTTGCCACTTTTGATGTTTTCGGGTATGCAAAAATTGTAGGGTCTGAATTTTGGGACGAAATTCTTTTTAAGTGGTGAGGTATGTGACAACTTGAATTTTTAAGACTTTAATTTAATTTATTTCATGACTTTTAAATTGTCATAGTTGATTATTTTAAATTTAATTGGAGATTTACCCACTTGAATTATTTAAAGGGGTTTGATTTAGTTTTCTTGTTATATATATATATATATATATATATATATATATATATATATAATGTGATGTTGAAGGAGCAGGCACCTACCGAAATGAGTAAAAAGAAAGTGAGCAGGTCGTTAGATGTTGTCCACAAAGTTTGTTGCAATCGTATATATTATATATATACATAGGAGTATATGTTTTGTCAGATGGAGACATTAAGATATTTTGAGGATAAAAATCGTCTCCAGTCGCTTCTCACTGGAATCGGTCCAGTTGTGGGACCCACGACTGAGGTGGCAAGGCAGGTAAAAGAGAGAAGCACTGTAGTTTTCCGGATACCTGCTTATACGTTTTGCTTTGCTTATACTCATTCTGTTTTGCTTATACGTTTTCAATATACCTTCCCTTTCTGTATTTCATTTTCAACTCAAAATTCCCCCCAAAACCAAAATTAAGGTTGGAGCCAAAACTGATCTAATATATATATACAGATATATGCCTCGGATATGTGATGTTTCTCTACTCTGATCTATAACCGAAAACGAAGATGCGAAGCCTCTGCTCTGTAAACCAACACATAAAATCGAAGCCTCTGCTTTGTAAACCAACACATAAAAATGAAGAATTATGAAGAGAAGGTCAATGATTTAGGCACATAAAGATTTTTGAAGAGAATGACCCAGTTGAGAGCCTCGGTTGGGAAAAATCGCCATACATTCCGATGACAAGCTGAACTTTTTAATCTACCTTCCGACGAGATACTGAAGCTGTGATCATCCATTCCGGCACGAAGGTGAAAGATTTCGGTGACAAGGTGAATGTCCGATCATCCATTCCGGTGATCAGCTGAAGCTCCGATCAACCAGTCATGCTAGAAGCTCTGATCATTATAAGTATTAGGTTGTTATTTTGAATTTTTTGTAACTTTATTCATAATGATATATGAAATCCGGTAGTGATTATTGGTAATCCAAAAATCTGAAGGCTGGGTTATTAGTTGTAATACCCCTAATTTAAAAAGGATAGGTTTGGAATTTATTTTATTGTTTAAATTATATTTTTATTTATTTAATTATGAATTGGGTTGTTTTAATTGAAAATTTATTTAAATTTCATTATGAGTTTATTGGGTTTTATGTTTATACCTTGTTTTAGTTTAATTGTTTTCATGGTTGTGTTTTGATTGCATTTAGTTATTTTTTTTTGGATTAAATGCTTTACTTGATTTAATTTACCTATTTAATTGATTTAATCTAATTTAATAAAATGGTTTGATTAATTTAATTTAAGTGGTAATTATTTTAATTTAATTGTATTTTTAAATAGGGTTTTGTTTTAAAAGTCAGTTGTTGCCGACGTAGGTTTTATTAGGTTTCTTTGGGTCGGTGAGGATTTTTAGGAGGGTTGGAATTAATCTAGGGTTTAGTAAAACCCTATAAACATATGTGAGATGTCTGTATAGGGTTTTAGAAAACAAACAAAACCCTATTCACGTCTCTAGAGATAGAGAAGCAACAGAGTAGTTTTGCAGTGGGAATCGTCGGAAAGCTTTAGAGACGGCGTAGAGATTTTGAACAAAGATCTCAAAGGCAAGTTCTAACCTTACTCTCTCCCTTATACTCATGTTCTTTGCATATTAAATTGGTTCCAGGTTTATTATATGATTTTAAAACAAAAATAGATAGGCTATCTGTTACTAGGACGCAAACTGTTAGTCTTAGGTTTGGTTTGATAAACTGTTAAAGCTTGGGACTGATCTTGCATTGTGCTTGGTTAAATTCATATTAGTAAGTATAATCAAGGCTTAAACCCACATTAGAATTTACTGGGAATTACTTAGAAATTTCTGGAAATCAAAACGGTGATCTGTAGAAGGGTTAAACGTAGCCGGAAAAGAGAACACGAGGCAGAGGAGGGGGAGAGCCGGCTCTCCCTTGATTGGAGCCGGCTCTCCTTGAGGTGGAGGCGGCTCCTAGGCAATTGGAGGCGGCTCCAAGGCTATTGGAGGCGGCTCCAATATTTGGGGAGCCGGTTCTACTTTTACTTTCCAGTTTTTACTACGTTCTGTTTGTGGTGTCTTCAGTTTTCAGTGAAGTGGCTTCTTGGGGGTTGATTTTCTAAGTTTTTCTAAGTAGAATTATGACTGTAATGGATGGTTTAGCAATGGTTTAGAGTAGGATTAAAGTCTCCAAGAACAGAATAATACAGAATTGAACTCAGAGCATTAAATGTTAAAAGTCTGTGGAAGTATTTCTGTGTGTCTTACAGAGATGTATGAATTTGGTGAATTCTCTGTGTACCTCCTGTTTATGGGATAGTGTTGATTGAATAGGGAATTAAAATATTTCTTGAAGCACATTGGAATCTAATTTAGACACTTAAGAACTCTAAGTATGAAGAACAGAGAAGAAACGCTTTAAGTTTGCAAAGAGACGGCTCATAGAAGCAAAGAGCAGGCTCTTTACAACCAAAGAGCAGGCTCTAAGCAAAGAAAGAGCAGACTCTTTCGGTTAAAAGAGTAGGCTCTTTCATTTGAAAGAGTAGGCTCTTTCACGGGCTTCCAGTTTTGCGTATTCTACGACCAATTTGGCTACGGAACTCGGATTTTGGATTTTTCAGAAGCTGTAGGAAGCTATACTTGGGTGTTTTGAGATGTTCTAAGTCTAATCAACACTTATGAGAGTGGATTAAAGTTTAATAAACCAATATGTGTTTATAGCTTAAACATTAGTAAGCATCGACGGAAGTTGTTCATTATAGTGCAGAGAAATTATAATTTTATTGAACTTAATTTATATTCTCTGTGGATGGAAAATGGATTATTATGATGCTATTAATAGTGACAAGCATGATAATTAATATAGTTAAGTTTATTGTACTTGTCATGGACTCGTGGACGAGAATGATGAATTATCTGCATGCTCAGAAATATGATAATTTATAATGGAGATATGGGATGAATATGATAACCTATATATTTATTTTATATTCATCATGGTATTAATTGATATGTCTTATGATTTTGGGTTATCAATTACTGGAGTAAACATGTTAGTCTATATTTCTATTTATGCTTATTACAGCTCAGTTGCTATGTGCATTGTTTATGTTTGGTATCAACTGTTGGATGGAATGGATTGTATGTATCGGTATGAGACGGTGACATACTAGGTTTGGACAGCACAAGTTGCTAAGTACTACCTATTTGGAATGAGGGTACGGGTTATTAAATAAATCTTCCTTATATGTATGTAAGTCGGTGCGGTTGACTACGCCGAATGACTTAATGGATTTCTTGTGGATGGATGGAATTGGAGTTTAAATATATTTTTATGGTACAGTGACATGAGCTTGAGTCTCAGAGTCAACGGTTAGGATGCGTATATGCAGTTGGATGTGTAGCTGACTGTAGGGATTGAGGTATACCCTGTTTAGGCTTAGGTACTCATACCCACTCAGGTGCGATTTGTGTGATGCCTTCTATTCAGATTGAGACCCTCTTCATAGTCTAGCGAGGGTCCAGTAGTATGGATATATATTTATGTACGGACTATTAGCTATTGTTGAACTATTTAGTATGTACATGCGTATCGGGTCTCTGCTTGGATTGCAGTAGGATAGAACTTGTTCGTGGGCCTGACCCACTCCTATTTTACAGGTGTACGTCAGTTCCAGGCTTGAGCTTGTTCGTGTGGAGCAGAGACGGTCACTCATTCTTCCGACGATGTAGGATCTCTTTCCAGATGTTCGACTTGGATTTTATCTTCAGTTTTACTTTGATTCAGTTTGGGATTTTTATATTAGGGGTCCACTAGAGATGGATTCCCGAGTTGTTAAAAGATTGGAGATTTTGGATTGTAGGATTTTAAGTTATTAATATTTTAAGGTTTTTATATTGAGGATTTCTTTTATAGTTTCTTTCCGCTTATTCTTTTATTTCTTAAATCATTTTTGTAATCTGTGTTCGTTTAAAATACTTTAATTGTTTGGTATCCCTCGGACTCGGGTCGGACTTGATCAACCCGTGTCTCAGATCTGAGGGGTATCACATTAGTCTTGATGAGCATGAATGCTTTTTATTTTCAGGCAACCCGAGAATTGGGAAGCTTGTTGTTGTGCATATTTAATGTTCCTATTTATCTTTTTTAGCCTTTTTCTCTTTTTCTGAATGAACCCTTTTAGTCATCACTGAACAAAGAAAATTTTATATTGTATATGCATATACCAGATTTTGATGCTTGTTCTTCTGCCTATTATATGTCCATATTTATCTGTTTTAGCCTTTGTGAAATAACTTTATTTGTGAATGAACTATATTAGTGATCAGTTATAATAGAAGTTTAAGATTGTATATGCATATACCATTTTGAAGATTGTTCTTGTGCCAATGTTATGTCCATATTCATCTGTTTTAGCCTTGTCCAATTCTAAACTTTATTATTTTTCAGTTTGAATAAAATTGTAGAATAGTATCTGTATATCCCAAATATTGAAAGATGTGATGTTGTATTTATGAAAGTGTTGACATATGTTATAGAAAAGTTGTGTTGTGAAGGTCAACATATGTCACATGTTGTAAAACGGTTACATTAATGGTAATGCATTATAGTAGTGTAGAAGTCAATTATATGTGCATATGTTAGGTTTGCCACCAACTGTGTTCATATATAGTGTACAGTTGCCATATTTGAGATGTATTTGATCTGTTAACATATGACACATGTTAGGAAATGGTAGCATGAATGGTAAAGTATTGTAGTAGTGTAGAAGTAAATTTTATGTGGATATGTTAGGTGAAAGATGTGATGTTATATTTATAAAACTGTTGACATATGTTATAAAGAAGTTGTGTTGTGAAGGTAAAATTATGTTTGCCAAAAATTGTTTGCATACCTATGTTAGATGTATTTGTTACGGCAACAGATGCCACATGTTATGAAAAAGTTGCATTAATGGTAATTCATTATAGTAGTGTAGAAGTAAATTTTTAATGGATATGTTAGGTTAAATATGTGATGCTGTATTTATGAACTTGTTGACATTTGTTATATAGAAGTTGTGGTGAGAAAGTCAAATTATGTTGGACACCAATTGTTTTGATATCTAATGTACAGTTAAAGAAAGTTATATGAATTTGATCTGTTAACATATAACACTTGTTAGAAAATGGTTGCATGAATGGTAAAGCATTATAATAGTGTAGAAGTAAATTTTATGCGAATGTGTTAGCTGAAATATGTGATGTTCTATTTATGAAACTGTTGTCATATGTTATAAAAAAGTTGTGATGTAAAGGTCAAATTATGTTTGCCACCAATTGTTTGCATATCTAATTTAAGCTTGAATTATGTTAGATGTATTTGTTATGGCAACATATGCCACATGTTAGAAAAAAGTTGTATTAATGGTAATCCATTATAGTAGTGTAGAAGTAAATTTTTAATAGATATGTTAGGTCAAACATGTGATATTATATCTCTGAACCTGTTGACACATGTTATATAAAAGTTATGGTGAGAAAGTCAAATTATGTTTGACACCATTTGTTTTGACATCTAATGTATAGTTGAAGTTTGTTATGTGAATGTGATCTATTAACATATGGCACTTATTAGAAAATAGTTGCATGAATGGTAAAACATTATAGTAGTGTAGAAGTAAATTTTATGTGAATGTGTTAGCTGAAAGATGTGATGTTCTATTTATGAAACTGTTGGCATATGTTATAAAAAAGTTGTGCTGTGAAGGTTAAATTATATTTGCCATCAATTGTTTGTATCTAATTTAAGCTTGAATTATATTAGACGTATTTGTTATGGCAACATATGCCACATGTTAAAAAAAAGTTTCATTAATGGTAATTCATTATAGTAGTGTAGAAGTAAATTTTTAATGGATAGGTTAGGTCAAATATGTGATGTTGTATTTCTGAACCTGTTGACATATGTTATATAAAAGTTGTGGTGAAAAAGTAAAATTATGTTTGACACCATTTGTTTTGACATGTAATGTACAGTTGAAGTTTGTTATATGAATTTGATCTGTTAACATATAGCACATGTTAGAAAATGGTTGCATGAATGTAAAACATCATAGTAGTGTAGAAGTAAATTTTATGTGAATGTGTTAGCTGAAAGATGTGATGTTCTATTTATAAACTGTTGGCATATGTTATAAAAAAGTTTTGATGTGAAGGTCAAATTATGTTTGCCACCAATTGTTTGCATATCTAATTTAAGCTTGAATTATGTTAGATGTATTTGTTGTGGCAATATATGCCACATGTTATAAATTTCTTGGCTGGATGTTAATGCATTATAGTAGTGTACAACTAAATTTTATGTGGATTTGTTATGTTAAATATTTGATGTTGTACTTATGAAACTGGTGACATATATTATACAAAGGTTGTGCTGTGAATATGAAATTATATTTGCAACCAGTTGTTTGCATATCTAGTGTACACTTGAATGGTGTTAGATTTATTTGTTATGGCAACATATGCTAGATGTTAGAAAGTTATTGTTTCAATGTTAATGCATTATACTAGTATAGAATTAAATTTTCATTGGATATGTTAGGTGAAAGATGTAATGTTGTATTTATGTATTTTACAACAGTGTACAATTGTAGTATATTGCATGTATTTGTTATGGCACATATTAGAAAATGGATGCATGAATGGCAATGCATGATATTAGTGTAGAAGTAAATTTGATATGGATATGTTAGGTGAAAGATGTGATGTTGTATTTGTGAAACTGTTGACATATGTCATATAAATGTTGTGCTGTTAAGATATACTTACTTTTTTGTCATGTTTTTGTAGGTCTGCTATTATAGTTATGGCTATTGGAGAGACAATTATTAACATTGAAGAGACAGATAGTGATTCAGTTTGCGAAATTCCTGAAGTAGAATGGATACCTCGCGTTGATATGTAGTTTGATTCCGAAGAAGCGGTTTATGATTTTTACAATGAATATGGTGGCAGAGTGGATTTAGTATTCGGAGAGAGTACAAAAACAATAGTCGGAAGGATGGAAAACTAACATCTAGAAATTTTGTGTGTTGTAAGGAGGGAAAAAGAGGTGAGGACAAGAGGGACAGGAAAACAAAGAATCGAAGGGCTGAAACACGCACCGATTGTCGTGCACGCATGCTTATTGCCTTTAATGTGAAATTTGGTAAGTACATTGTAAAAGATTTTAAAGATACTCACAACCATCCCTTCATCAGTGAGGATTGTGCCCACATGATGCAGTCGCAGTGAAAAATAAAGTCAGTGCAAGCTACTGATGTGGAGTTGGCTACCGATTGTGGAATACCAGTTCGTAAAGCCTTTGAGTTAAGTTCGAAGCAATTTGGTGGTAGAGAAAGTATTGGCTTCACGAAGGTTGATGTACAAAATTATATTCGGACGAGAAGACAGAACGACCTTAAACTTGGTGATGCGAATTGGCTGATGAATTATTTCCAGACACAGTGTTTGGAAGATCCATCATTCTTCTATGCCGTGCAATTGGACAGCAGTGTAATGATAACAAATATATTTTGGGCCGATTCAAAAATGATATCAGATTATGGGCATTTTGTAGATGTGCTGACATTTGATACCACGTACAAACTTGTTCATAGGAATCGGCCTTTTGCAGTTTTTCTCGGTTTGAACTATCACCGGGAGACAGTTGTGTTTGGAGTAGCTTTCATGTATGATGAGACAACCGATTCTTTTGGTTGGTTATTCAATACATTCTTGAATGCCATATCCCATAAAGCACCAAGGACGATCTTGACCGACCAAGATGCTGCAATGGCAAAGGCATTAGTTTAGGTCATGCCCGATACAAAACACCTTCTATGTACATGGCACCTAATGCAGAATGCCCAAAAGCATCTTGGGAATTTGTTTGTTGGTGGGAAAAGGCATAAAAAGTGTGATATCAAAATTAATGTACGAGATTGAAGGTGAGGAAGAATTCTTGCTGGAATGGGCGTGGATGGAAAAGGAATTTGCTGCAGAGAATAACAAGTGGTTGGCCAACTTATTTGGTTTGAAACATGTATGGGCCAGGGCATACGTTACACATGTGTGGTTGGCTGGTATGCGTACCACATAGCTTAATGAGAGCTTCAATGCTCGCTTAAAACAGTACTTAGCGAGATAATATGCACTGCCAGAGTTTTTCAAGCATTTTGAAACACTTTTGTTCGACAAGCGATACAAGGAGTATGCAGCTGAGTATGACTTGCTGCATAAGATGCCCAGGCTGAAAGCAAGGTCTCCTATTTTAGATCAAGTCGGATGTTTATACACTACTAATATCTTTGACCTTTTTCAGGAATAGTTAATAGTAGCTAGCATGAGTGAAAATGTTCGGAAGTGCAACGACCTTGGTAATGGGGTTTTTTCATATGAAGTTGCGGTTTATAATGATAACTTCCATCGGGTCGTCATAAGGACAAATGACGACTTATTATCATGTTCATGTGAAAAATTTGAAATGGAGGGTATCATGTGCAGCCACACTCTGAAAGTCCTTAAAGATGTGATGTATGCCAGTGAAATACCCAGCCACTATATTTTAAAAAGGTGGACCAGAAATGGCAAGGACGGTAGGGTGGAAGACATAATTGGCAGCGATGTTATTACAGATCCTAGATTGGAAATTAGGCGAAGACACAGGATCCTTTGTCGTTATCTAACTGAAATTTCTGCCATTGCATCAGTGAGCAAGGAGGGATTCAACAATGTTTTGGTACAGGTGAAAAGTTTGAAGAAGATTGCTCAAGGAGCACAACCTAATCCCAGGCCTGCATGTAACCAAACCGCATGAGCCAATGCCATGGGAAACAGCTTTACAAATATAGAGCTGAATATTCATGCGCAAACCATAGAAGGATTGACTTCAAAAGGGATTGCCACGAAAGATACATTGAAAAGAAGAAGACGTAGGCTCATACTTGCTTTGGAGAGAGCCACTGCGAAGAAGAGAAAGGCCGTTATGCCAGGTCGCAGTCGTACTACGACAACCCCTACGTATATTTTAAACAATGTGAGTCTTATTTTATGTTTTATATATCCCCTACCCGATCTATAGTCTAACGTATTAATGAAGTGATGATTTTTGGTGAATGGTGCTGAAATACAGTAGAGTTTTTCTGCTCTGATGAATGTTATATGCCAACATGTTCAACATAGGGCCACGATTGGGATAACAGTCCAGCTACTTATTTTGGTCAGCCCATGACTCCATTAAATAACCAGGTATGTGATGTTATCTAAATTAATTAAACTCATGAAATTATTTAAGAAATTTAACGACCTATTTTTGCATGCATGTGATATAAAAAGGGAGTTGATGTAGATGTTGTACGTGACACAAATTTCTCGCTAATGATCCAAATGCCAAACATGAATTCTACATTTGAGCAACAAGGGTTCTAGGAATTACCATGATATGGTAGCAGGGTACAATAAGTGTACTTCATCGCGATTTCTTCGTTATTGCCATGGTTGCATTTCCTTTATTTTGCTGAGTGGTCAAGATATTGTTGGGGTGTGACTGTACATGATATCTTCTACTCCAGTATATTTGTTATGTTAAAAATATTATATTTAAGTCAGAACTGCACTTCCCTTTTTATAATGAACACTTTATATTTGACCATTTATTCCTTGCCTTCATTGCAATTGAATGGTTTGTTTAGTATATTAAAGACCCTACTTATTATTTTCAACCTACGCGATGCCTCAGATCTATATTTAGGGCATCTGTATCTCCATAGCAGTCGTCCCATCCCATTTTTAAATTGACAGCCCTTTAAAGTATAAGCAATGGCTGGCCGTCGGTTTTACCTTGTAGTGAAGGGCCGGAATGTTGGTATATACATGAAGTTGGCGGAATCAAAGGCACAGACACGAGGGTATGCTGATGCAAGGTATTATCCATACAAAACTCATGCACAAACTGTTCAAGCCCTGGGTAGATGGAATGCCCACTTCCATGGTGAACTGTTAAACATGGATATTGGTGCGGTAGAAGATGGTATTGAAGTTGTGAAAGGCGGTCCACCTCCACATCCGCTTGATCCAGACAGTGAGCGACAACATTGTATTAGGTATAATGAGTTAAAAAATGCTAGGGGTGTAATTGTGGCAGAGTACAGAAGACAAGGTCTGTTAATTCCAAGACCCCGTTCATTTGAAATGAAGTTCTCAGGTACATCAAATATGGATTTCGTGATTGGTCAAATCAAACGCGAGATCCGGTAACTATATGTGAGATGGCGTAAGTTCCAGAAAGTGAAACATGCTAAAGAAACATATGAAGATCCGGCAGAACAGTTGGCCACCATCTTCAATGCCCCCAAGCCTAAAATCAGATTCAGAAATGTTCGATTTTTCAGACCCAGCAGATGATGACTTTGTAATTCCACCTCTAAGACATGGTAGAAAGAAATAATGTGAGTGGATGTAACAAATATAATTTGTGGAGTTGTACCTTTTTTGTAATAGTTATTATCCAATTAAATTAGTGGGAATAACATCGGAACGATTTCATATGTTTTATCGTAATTAATTTATATGTACTGTAGGAATAATTTCGTAACAGAAGTCAAAACAAAAATGAACTTGAAAAGATAATTTTATTTGATAATGTACACGTGTACAGTTGGACAACATAAATGAACTTTAAAAAAACGTATTAATGATTGAGACGTGGGAACTTCCATCTTACCCTTCTAATGTAAGTGGATGTAACAAATGTTATTTATGGAGTTGTACCTTTATTGTAATACTTATATTCTAATTAAATTACTGGGAATAACATCAAAACGATTTCTTATGTGTTGTCGTAATTAATTTATATGTAATGTAGGAATTATTTCGTAACAGAAGTCAAAAAAAAAATTTACCGTTTAGATAAAAATTTATTTTATAATGTACACGTGTACACCTGGACAACATAAATGAACTTTAAAAAAACATTTAAATGATCCAGACGTGGGAACTTCCACCTTACCCTTCTAACCGTTGTTATATTGAAACGTTTTGACTATTTAACTACTTGGGAACTTCCACCTTACCCTTCTAACCGTTGTTATATTGAAACGTTTTGACTATTTAACTATCCTAGGCAAAGTATAAACGGTTAATTCATGTGTTTATTTATATCGCCATATCTAGTCGGTGCATTTATTCGAAAGCCATGGATTCTATTCTACAGACTGCGATTGAAGATGTGGTCAGACGAGTTGAGGCTATAGCTTTTACAAATAGTGCGGAGAAGTATGCATGGTGAGTTAGGTTTATACTTTACAATTTACATGCATTATCGGGTTATGGGTCTTCATTACTGAAGTGAGGAATATGGGTGTTGTTCGTATTTAAAATGCAGGGAAACGACAGAACTGGGCACTGGACCATGGACGATGGGTCTACGGCGATACGCTACAACAATTGATTTACTTGCACATAATTGACCAGATGAAAGTATCCAAGCAAGACGTATGTACCTGGAACAATGTTTTCAATCTAGGGATCATGTTGCAAAGTTCTTTAGGGGAGTGGTATGTTTAGTAAGATCATGTGTACTCTTTTACGCATTACACTTTATTTATTTGTAAGGTCTAACATGCAAAAAAATTTGCACAGGTTGATTGGATTGTTTACAATGAAAAAATAGGATTGGTTTTCCTCTGTAAAAATGGTTACCCGTCCCTCTATCCTATGTATATTGCATTATTGTTTTCCAGTGAAGTGGACAAAGAGGCGGGGATTAATTTGTTAACGTTGTTGAGGACAAATTCAATACTGAGCCCTTCTATCAAGTCTGCCCGTAGAAAGATGTTAACAATTATTCAGAGGAGTTTTGTCTACAATCGGTCATTCTTTATGCATGTTCCAAAATGTTGTCCCGAAGGCAACCATATTGATTGGCATTGTTGGATCATAAACGAGGATGTCATCAATTGTAATCGTTGTTGGTGTGATTTAAATATCATAATTTTGCAAGGTCGTCTTTTGCAACATCACATAGAAGGATTATTTGGGTAGTTCGGCATTTTTATTGGGTTTGTGTGTGCACTTTCAGCATATCACAATGGACTTTATTCATTAATATTTGTAATTCTTATTTAATTTGTGTATAGATATTTGTGTATGTATATTTGGGTAGTTTTTATTAATTTTTTTTTTTTATAAATATATTTGGGTAGTACTGTTTTCATTATATAAATTTTAATTTTTTACTTATGTGAATTGTTCACATCCTTCCTTTTTTTCAGCGGTCCCATTACCCCTTAAGGTATGAATTCACACTAACCTTTTATAAATATATTCTTTATATATATATATATATACACACACATATACATATGCTTTAAATGTAAATTTTTCCTTGCAGATGATCCATTCCCACATAACATAACATATGTCACAACTTTATTTACGTTTTAAACATGTGTCACAACTACATAACATAACATAACATGTGTCAAAAATAGGTAGCTAATGGATAACTTATTTCCTCTGTTTCAAAGAAAACAATCAGCATTCTACAGGGATATTTCAATTGAAACATCGTCGCCATATTTGAATCGCTGCGGAGCACCATTTTGTCGAGTGTGTCAGGGATAGAAGCATATTGATGAGCACTGAAAAGTGCGCATTTAAACCCGTTAAGCTTAAGCATTCTAGTACCTTTATCTATCTTACTTTGCCGTTTTAGATTTATTACGTGTTATTTATATTTTCAGGCACTAATCCCAAAATTGAGCTAACTCAGCCAAATAAGAGATTAATTGAAGCAATCCTGAGATAAACCAAAGGAGGGAGCAAAGTGGAGAAAGAAAGGAGCAAAAAGGAATCAAAGTTGTGCAGCTGAAAAGTTCGATCGATCCAACTTAGAGTTCGATCGATCGAACATCTATGATCGATCACAGTACTTCTCGATAGATCCAACCTTGGCCTTTGCTGAAATTCAAAGTTCGATCGATCCAACATCACCTTCGATCGATCGAACCCTATTTTGTCCTATTCAAATGATTGATCTCATCCACAGCTGTACGCCTACCAACCACTTTTGTCCTTTTCGCCATAAATATCTTCAAAATATCTCAGCCTTGTCCTTATCCGGAGGAATCAGACCACTTCGATCGATCCAAGATGCAGTTCGATCGATCGAACCCATTTTCGATCGATCCAAGTTAAAGTTCGATCGATCGAACTTCTTCCAGCGAGAAAAAGTTAAAGTCCAGCTCATTTATTCCGTCCTTCATCCAATCATTGGAGAATATGCCTTGCACGACCACAGCTCATCATGGGGTGTATTTGACCTACCTATATAAGGAATATGATACACTTTTTGGGAGGGTCTCTAAAGTCTCTTGTCACACATTGAAAATCATCTTGGAGGCTATTCTTGGAGAGGAAGAAGGGAGGAAGCTAGAGCAACCATTGGAGGAGATCTTCACCAACAAGGAGCAGCCATGGAGTTAGCCCTTGAGGGTTGGATCATCCCTACCATGAGTGGCTAGACATCCTCTTGGGGCTAGAGTTAGCCCCAAGCATGCTTTTTATACTCTAATCTTGTGTATTATTGAGGGATTAGTGTTGTATGATACATCTTGATATTCATGTATATATAAATCTTGATTATTTCATGGTTTGTATGGTTTAATGCTTCCAATTGACTATTCTATTCTATCCATATGTCTATGTATGTTAGAGTAGGATATTCATGTGCTTATCCCTAGATTTAGTGTTTTTGATGCATGTCTATGTGTATTGATGCTATAGATCTAGAGATTATTAAGATGATATGCTTAATGA